CTCCATCCGTCTGCTCCACCACCACCCCCACCACCTCCTCTACAACTGACAACGACACCGCCGATTTCTCATGCCCACACTGTCCACGCACATTCACCTCACGCATCGGCCTGGTCGGTCACTTTCGAATCCATCGCACAGAGACTGGCGAACCGGTGCCTGGAGCACCCACCTATACCCACCAAGCTCGTCTCAACTGCCAACATTGCCCTCGCGCTTTCAGGCATCGCATGGGCCTATTCGTCCACATGCGCATCCACCTCTACCTGCGGTAGGCAACCGCCGGTCACACCACACATTCACTCACCCCCTACCTCCCACCACTACCATCACCCTGCCACACATCAGCACTCCCACACCTCATACACCCAACTGCCACCTTCCACGCAAGTGGGAAGTCCACATCTCGACTCGGTCCCCATGCGGCTTCGGCTGCACGGGTGACTTGAGTCCGAAACTATCCTGACACGTCAAGCGTCGTGTATAGGAAGGTCGCTGATTGACGCCCGCTCTCGGTTCACGCAGTTCGTCGCGTTGTGTGTGTGTTGTGTGGAGTGGCGGACTGGTGGGCTGGGGACGGGCTGAGACAGCACCTTCCACGGCACTCTCACGCAAGTGAGAGACACGCCGTTCATCCCCCGTTGTGTGAAATCCTGGTGTTGTGTGTAGGGGGGGCCAGGTCGTGCTGTGGCGCGCGCAGTTATGGTCAGTCGACCATGACAGCCACCGCGCCCATTCCCCACTCCAGTCTGCTGACCGGCTCGGACAGCGGCTGGGGTGTGGGAGTGGGAAGTGAGAGTGAGGTCGACGACACAGCGCATTTTCCTCACTATAAACAATCTGACGCGATTGAAGCCATCACGGTGCGCTAAAAGCCGTGGCTTGGAAGGTTGCCAACTGACGGGGTACCTTGGACCTCCTCCTTGACCGGAGGCGGTCTGAGAGTCAGGCTGCAATGGCTCCTATTTAATGTGGCCTCTATGGCACTCCCATCACAGTGTGGGATCCGAGCCAGGCGTTGGCGGCACGCCCAGGTGCGGCTTCGGCCGTGCCAGCCTCCAAATCTATGTTGTGTTGGCTGAAATCCTGGTTATTGTTGTGTGGACCAGGGAGTGTGGTGGAACGCCAAGGTGAGGATCCATCCGAGCCATCCACCTGCGGCCTCTCTCGTCTCCGGTCTTCTTGACTCTGTCTTGACACCGTGCCCAGGCGGGGGAGGAGGAGAGTGTAGGTAGATGCTACGCAAGTCTACTGGCACTATAAAACCCTGCGTAAGTAACCGTCCCTGCTCCACAATGCAGTCTGTGGGGCACACGGTGGACATCGTCGAAATCGACGGTCGAACTGTCGTGAATTGCCACAATTTCATCACCCGTGTTGGATGTTTGCGTGACGATTACCTGGCTACTTGGCTCACTGTCATTGGGATTGTTGCTCGTCCGTGCTTTCCTCACGTGACTGATTACCATGCCCAGGGAATGTGTCAACACCGAATATGGTAAGGGTAGGTCATTGCGCTTAAACCGCTGTGATATATTTCTGTTCATGGCGCCCAAGACCCTTGTGAGATCGACAATGATGGTGTGGAGGTTGAGTCCTATTTACTAGAACTTAGCATGCAACTATGGTGCTGCAAATATCGTGTGGGCTGTTTCGTAATCCATACTGAGTCGTTGGGGGAAGTCTGTTCGGTCGGTGTCCAGTACGTTGATAGAAGAGAGTATGGGCAATTTGCCGACAATACCAGAAGAAGAGGCTCCACTGTGATTGTTGCAAATTTATCGGTCCCATTTTCGTCATTTGGCCTGCCTCGCTGTCCACCAGTCGACCACTGCACAAAGACACACAGGGTGGTCTGAGTTGTACCGTCAGTTAGCAACCTCACAAGCCACGACTTTTAGCGCCTCGTGATAGTTCCAAGTGCATCAGATCTATTATAATGAGGAATGCGATGAAGTGCCATAGGAAAGGAATCTCCAGAGTCGACCGCATTCTCCCTCCTCTCCTGAGTACCAGTCCACTGTCCAAGCCAGTCAACCAATCGATGATGAGA